CCCCAAAACCCCAAAACCCCATAAGGTAAAATAATCTATGAATTTAGATAATAATTAATTCAATGTTATTACTTGATTTATTTACATACAAATGGGAAATACCTCTCTAAATTTCATTAAATGTTTTAAATAAGACTATGGTTTTTAATTCAAAATTACCAATAGATTTCATCGATTTATATCATTTTCTGTATAAACTTTAATAGTTCTTTTCGTTTTACTATGATTTCTTTTTTCCATTTAATCATGGAACATTTTAGAAATCAATTCATCATCATCTTCATCTTTGGCATAAATCAATTATTCTTTTGGTAAATTAATCTTTTATAAATTATCCAAAATAGGGAAATCGACTTTATTTTAATGCTAAAGGTCACTAAAATTTAAATTATCCAGTTAATCATCAATCATATCTTCAAATAGTTTATCAGTTTTGCTTTTCTAAATACTAGGCAGTAAAAGCTCTTAAGTATTTTACATAAGTAAAGTTTGCAAATAAGGCAAAGTTTAATTTTCATTATTTTCGCTTATTACAAAAGTCTTTGTATCTATTTATTGCAGTAAAAATTGTTCTTGTTTATGACTTGACTTCTTCTTTTAATTTATTTTCTTCTTCTTTTACTTCTTTGAATTAGACTCTTTTTATATCTCAATGTCTTATTTTCTTATAGATTTGTTGCCCTTAATACTGATCTATTTTAATTACTTCAGAATTTTCTTTCTGTAAATTAATTTCATTTTCTTGATGAGATCTATACCTAGCAGATAAAACACTATAGTCTGATATATTACCATAAAAATTACTGTTAAATATCTAGCATCTTTGTATGTTAAGCAAATTTATTATACTCTTTATTAATTAATAGTCATTCCAAAAAAGCTATATAAATTGTAGACTATGAATAATTCCATTAAGAATTACTTGAAAATTAAAAGAATTCTACCTTAAATTTAACCTTTAGATATCTAAATATTTTTTATCAATATTCTTAATTAAATCGTACTGAAAATCAATTGTAAATACACTTAAATTGAAAATGGCAAATAATATACACTTATAGCTAATAGAAATCTTCTTGAAAAATATATAAATTCAATTATGCCATATTCTGGATTATATCTCAATAAAAAATCTCAATTTTAAGCAATTTTAAAATTCTTATTCTTTGTTTTAAATTTTATGTTGGTATAATTTTTGTTTATCTTTTTGTTTATAGGTGTATTATATTATTTATTGGTTGATTACTACTTCAGATCAGTTTCTTTTTTATTGGAAAGATTAAATATTACTAGAAGCTTATATCCTAGATATAGTGGTAAAAATGCAAGAATTGTTATAATTGGAATTGATATAACGTAAAGCATCGTTAACAAATTGGTTTGATAATAGTCTTCAGTTTATTATATAAACATCATTATGGTAATAAGTGATGGCAAATAGCTTACCATAAATAAACTTCTAAAATGACTTATCTTAACATTGACTTGTATCTAACACTTTAAGTATTTCAATGAGATAGTCATCAATCCAAGAACTGCATAAATAATTACTAAAATAATCAAGCCATTCATCTAAACCCAAATGATAAACGAGTTATAGCCTAGGGCTTAGAGTTTAAATGAAATATGCTTTGAGTCAGAAGTGTTTCTAAATAAACTTGGAAGGAAACTAAACATACTAATTCTATTAAGAACTCTATAATACTCTATCTCTGTAATTGGAACTTCATTCTGAAATAGGTATAAATTTGAAACTAGCTATAATGCACCTAGCAACTAGAATGTGAGTTCCCCTATTTAATCACTTTTAAAATTAATAGAAAAATTATGTTACACAAAGATTGAAATTATCAAATTTAGACAAAGGCATAGTATCATTAACATTTCTAACAATAAATATCTATCATTCTGATCAAAAGGTTTATCCACTATTAAGGTTAAAAAGATAATTTTTACATCTAGCTGTGAAAAATTTAAGCTGATGGCTCTATTGAAACTATGATATGAGAATATTTTCTAGATCATTATTTTAATTCTTAGTGGTTATAATTTTATAATAAGTATCATTTAGCTCCTAATTTAATATCTCATCTAATAATCATTTCCTAGTATCTCTATTGATCTCTAGATTTTATTTTATCTCAGCTTTCAGATAACCTTCTCCTAATAATAACTAAAATATTCCATTCCCAAGATATTCAATATCAGCATTACAAACCTGATTTATTAATTAGCCTTATCACTAATTTTTTCTCAATATCAGAATACTTTAATCCTAATAAAATTCTAATAATTAGGAAATTGTCATAAATGTATTAATATCATTACTAAGGTCTAAAGATATTCGGTTATAATTTTTCCCAAAGCAATCCCCAAATTCATGAGAGCAAATGATATCAATATAAACTGCTGCTATTTAAGCTTTGGCAATTGGCTCTTTAGATTTAAATTTTTCTATAGGTGGCTTTTATTAATTGTGATTTACAATTCTACTGCTTGAATTCACAGTGAAATTTTATGGCTTGGATAAATTTTATTATGTATTATTAATGATTTCTAATTTATCTTTTACTTTAATTACGTCTAAAACCCAAGAAGTTCAATAGTACTGTACACTGCTTTCATCCTTGAGGTCCACATCAATATCAAATGTGAATTAACGCCAGTCTTTGTAGTAATCATCAAAAAAAGAATAGTTAGATTAATCAGAAATAATGTAAGAGTTTGTAATATTATCAAATGTTATGAAGCTGTACAAATTTAATGGCTTGGCCTCAAATAAAGGTCTACATGATGACCAGAATTTATCTCTCACATAATCTATAATTATTGGACCATTTCCTACGTAGTATTTATAATATAAGACATCGATTTATATTTTTGTAGAATTGCATCTTACAGTCAAATGAAGTACTAATTAATACACAATGTCTTTCTTTAAACTATCAAAATAAAATATGTATTTTCGGATATATTTCCCCCTGGAATTTAAATTATTTGAATAAATTGTATCTATCATTTTTTCATTGTCAAAATTGAATGGATCATAAAAATCTGATGTGGGCTATTCTGTTTACACAAATTCAAAATATGGATCCGGACATTATCGATGTGGCTTTTAATACTAAGGTTTCAAATCTATTATAACAGGATCAGAATACAAATTATAGAATATGTTTGTCAAGTTATACGCATTTTTACAACTCAAAAGATTAATTCTCAATGGCCAATTTTCTTATTGCTAGTCTGGATACGTAATATAAATCTTAAATAAATTACCATTTCCCATTACTCTATCCTCGTATTTGAAGATGAGGTAATCATTTTCAAAATAGTATTTGTTAGTTAATTCTTCTTGATTAACTGTGAAAAATCTTTTAGAATCTAAACAATTCTCATCACCTTTTACTAATTCATTTAAATTCAATCTATAGTCTTAAGGATCTTCCTAAGTTAAATTCAAGTCCCATTAAGTGTAATTAAGACTGATTTTAGATTTTTTATTACAAAACTTAGGATATTCTTGATAGTATTCTTTCAAATTAACATATTTTAAAGTATCTTCTTATTATTCTAGTAACATGATGCCACCATCTTTGAATATATTTTGGTAATTATATTCCTTAATCAAATATTCAGAGGTAACTGCAACATTGTATTAACTATCTTCTTGACCTTCAATTTGAACAGCTTTATAACAAGATTAGTTTTCATCATTGGAATTAACAAATGAAGTTCTACCCTTAATGTATGCTTATCCTGAAAAAACTATTAGAAAATCATCTCTTATCTTTGCATGATAGAGTTTCTTAAAATCTTAGAAATATAATATTTATTCAACTATTTCCACTGATTTTGAACTGTTGAAGCTTATTTTTAATAAGTATATTTTAGTGGTATAAATTGGATCGATATTATCATTTACCACTGCATAAAATTAGGTCATTGAAGATATCTTGACATCTCTACATCATTAATCGTTGATAATCTCAGCTATATACATTGAACTATTATTTGCAATGTAATCAATCTACAATAGAGAGAACTATATTTTAAATTAAGGCTCCTCTTCATACTGAGTGTGAGAACATATTCCGATTATTTCTTTTGAATTATTTTTGTAAACACTAAATTCTGATATGAAAGTTTTATCAGACTCTAGTATTGTCTTGTTATATTCAAATCCATGCAACCATTGAAACTAACCAGTTGAGGCATTCAGTTTAATGACTCCTAATCATGCATTATGAGTAAAAGAGTCAAATACAAAGGTTTTCTTATAATTTAAAAATAAACCATCGTTCTCATCAAGGTAAATTGAGAGAAATTGATGACTTTGATGCTATGATCCTATTACTTTTGACCATTTGCCATTAAGTGTAGAACCTAATATAGAAACATCAAATCTTGCTATTACACTTTATATTTTGTCCAAATTAAAGGCACAAATATAAATCTGATTATCATCTGTGATTAAAATTGAGTTTTGTTAATTAATTTGATAGAATGGTCTCAATTAATCACTATTATCTTAGTAAAGCTTAATCATCTCTCCATCAGTTGCATTAATCAGCATTAATAGCATCATTCCCTAATTTCCATTCAATACGGATACGATTTTCTAAGCAGTATTATTAATTTTTTGTATCTTAACCGAATTAGACATTAAAAGACCTTCTTAAAAAAAGGTTTTACCCCATTTTTAACCATCTAAATTATGATACTAGTAGAAAGCAGTATTTAATCCATTATTCAAAGATCTGTCTTAAATCATACCTGTAATTACTATATTTTGATTATAGTCCAAGTCAAAAGAAGTAGAATATGTAGAGCTGTTATATCCTAATGAATAGTAAAATCCTAGAGGATAATTCCAATTATAGCATCATTCAAGGCATTAAATTTAAATCAGGAGAAGTGCAATTGTATAAAGAATTATAGTGAAATTATTAGTAAATCTTTTTAGTATCTTAAATTCGAGTGAAGCAACTATGATTAGCTCTAAAATATCAAAATTCTATACCAATTACTCTAATTTTCTGTTTTACTCCATTTATTTTATAATTCTTTTTTATTTTTTTATTTAATTATTAATTCTTATTTAATTATTGATTTAAACACAAAGGGGTTTTGGGGTTTTGGGG